TTTATTTTCCACACACAGTATAAAACATAATACAGAGCGGGTTCCATGCTGACACCATTTCCATTGGTCATAAACGTTTTGTGCAGAAAAGGTGGAATGATACATGGGAACATACAGTATAAAGCGGGGGTGGGGAACCTCTGGCCCTCCAGCTGTGGTGAAACTACAAATCCCATGATGCATCTGTCTCTGGGAGTCATGCCTGTGGCTGTGAGAATGTTGCAATGCCTTATGGGATTTATAGTTTCACCACAGCTGGAGGGCCGGAGGTTCCCCACCCCCCTGGTATAAAGGTAGAATAGTGGTACAGAGAAGCCATAAGGAGCGCAGCGGTTGTATGTGTCGGCATTTCATAAGCTGGTCCGGGGAGGGGAGCCGGGATGAACTCTGGGCCAGGAACAGTGCGCGGCAATCAGCTTCAGGAGATTATGGGATCAAGTGGTGGCCACTGTTGAGGTGGTGGAAGCCAGAGCTGTAGTTAGAAGTGATAAGGACGGGGTGGGGTATGTGGTCATTTAATAATGAGTTAGAGGGGCAGGAGAGGAGGGGCATGGAGGGTATGGCAGGGGTGGCAATAACAGAGGGGGAGGGAATGAGGAGCTTAGGGTATAGAAAAGTTCACTAGAGAGTTGGGAGGGGAGCTGATAAGAACTAGAAGATGCCGGACGTCCTGGGGCAGAGCTCTATCTGAATTGCTGCAGCTTCTAATGCACATTGTGAGACACTCCCAGCGTGCAGTGACATCAGAGGAAGAGGAGAGGAGCCGGTACAACTGTGCAAGACTGAAGGGGAGGCCGGAGGTCAGGTTTAAAACTCAAGGCTGAGTATGGACACTCTATCTAGAGGAACTACAAGTCCCAGCATAACCAGCAGCATTATTATGGAGTAGTAGGTTGTATATGGCTGTAGTATTATGGAGGAGGAAGAGAAAGAGCAGACGGAGATATGAGGTGTCCTCCGATGTTCCTCCGTCCATATCAGAATATCTTCTTCTCACAGATGTACTGGAAGCTCTTGGAACAGTGATTGTCATGCCATTTGTGTCTATTTCTTATGTGAGCGCAGTCTTCTCCTCCTACCAGAGTAGGATCCATCCAGTTATTAGGCTGATTGTCATCCCAGAACCTGAAGGAGAGACAATACCTATTAGAAGAAGACACTGAGCAGAACCAGGACCTCCGAGGTCTTCACCGATCACTAAACTGAAACACTGAATGTTACAAATACGTCCTCTGGAACAGATCACTCAGGATAGCAGTGTAAAGGCTATCTAACCGCACCCCCCCCCCCCCCCCAAAAAACAAAAACAGACCAGTAAGATGTACCACTGCTAAATGACAGATGCCCACTGCTTGTCTTTGAGAACAAACCAGAAGGCACGGTCATTTAGATGTGCTAGCACTAACACTTCTTGTTTGTAGATAAATGGGCCAGGGATCCTGGGCTTTGTCTTTGACCAAATATGGTCATGACCATATTCAATCAACTACATCACTGAGATCCCCATTGCTGTGTTTATATTGCAGCAGTGCCAGGGATCTGACATATACAATGGGGGGAGTGGTGAGCCAAGTTTTTTTGCATGCTGGCTTGTGAATGTGCTGGGAAAACTTTTTGTTGTTTCTACGGTATTAGGCCCTTCCATGTACACCTTGCTGTAAAGCTGGTAACAAATTGATGAGTGCATTTTCCATTTGTTTTGCTTGGCTGAATTGGTGAAGTGATGCATGGGGGGTCTCAGCTGCCTTGTGATGTGTGGGATCTCTTGTGCGTCCCTGTGCCTTTAAGGGAGGTTGGGCTTCCTCCTGACAAACCTGCACCCAATTTGATATTTTGCCATATGTGCTCCAAGATGGAGACTCTCATAGT